TTCGGTGTCTCCCTCTCTCTCTGCCCCTCCCCCATTCATGCTCTGTCTCTCTCTGTCCCAAAAATAAATAAACGTTAAAAAAAAATTTTTTTTTAAATAAAAAAAAATAAAAAAATAAAAAAATAAAGAATTAGTTTTATTTTTGTCCCCCACTATCCTTTGACACTTTGTTGAGAAGACATGATTTTCCTCTGCCCAACAGGGAAGATTTGGGCAGACACGTGATTTTCTGTCAGATTGTCTTCCTATCAGTTTTAATCACCAAATATCTAGTCACATCTAGGGGCGCCAGGGTGGCTCAGTCGGTTGAGGGTCCAGCTCTTGGTTTCGGCTCAGGTCATGATCTCACAGTTCGTGGGACTGAGCCCCGCGTCGGGCTCTGCACTGACAGCACAGAGCCTGCTTGGGGTTCTCTCTCTCCCTCTCTACCCCTTCCCAGCTCTTTCTCAAAATAAATAAATTAGTTTAAAAAAAAAGAGAGAATCTAGTCACATCTAATAGTCAAAACTACAAACTTGGCATTAAGTCTTTTGAGTCTGCTTCAGGCTAAAAACCTACAGCAGGGCAATGGGATGCAGTCCTTTGCTCTCTTTTCTTTCCTCCTCTTCAACTCCCCTGCTTGCTAGTTATTCTACCACTGCTTTGGAGGCTGAGGAGGAAGGAACACTGGAGACTGAACGGTTCTGACTTAGCTGTTGGACTCCATGCTCTCTGGGCCTGCCTGGTGATTACAGCTGGGTCTCTCTCTCGGATTGGTACTTTCATGAGCCTTCCAGAGATTCCTGCTGCACCCTTGACCCCGGCAGATGCATCTCCCCCCTTGTTGCTCATTTGCTGTCCTCTCTCCTCAGTCCCTGGGCACCAGGCAGGACATGTCCAGACCCTTTCTGTGGAGGTCTCCTTGGCTCTGCTGATGGCCTATTGGACACTGTCAAATATGAACCAACAGCACGGTCCATGAGAGGTATTCATGTGTTCCTTGCCAGGAGGGCTCTGTCACCAAAGTCATTGGCCTTGTCTTTCCTCTAGGTTTCCTAGGCAGGAGTCAGCCTTCACCTACAGCCCGGCCTCCAGCCCACTTCCACCTTCTTTCTCAGGCCTGAGTCAGGTACCAGTTTGCTGCATCTCCCAACTGCAGGGAACACATTCCCAAACTCTGAGTTGTCCCCTGAGAACTTCCCTCTGAAGATAGTGGTAGATATCACTTCCCTACCCTTCCTCCAAAATGGGGGTTGGAACTCAACACAGCAACAACTTTATCCAAAAAATCTCATTAAACTTCTTACAAAATCCTCTCTGTTCTTTCAAAACTTGTATTCCCAAAGTGGATAAAGGGTTATCAAGAGCCTTGGAATAAGTTCTCCTGTTTTCCCCTTTGTGTCCTCAATTAAATTTAAGGCAGAAGAGTTCCATTCTAGGAACTTGTGCATTAGTTACTTATTGCTATACAACAAATTACCCCAAAACTTGTGGTATAAACAATAAACATTCATTATTGCTCACAGCTTCTCTGGGTCAGGAATTTGGGCGCCCTAGCTAGGCAGTTCTGGCTCAGGGTCTCTTGAGGTTCCAATCAAAATATCAGCTTGACTGAGGCTGGAGGATCACTTCTAACATGGCTCACTCCTATGGCGTGCAATTTGGTGCTGGTTGTTGGTAGAAGGCCTCAGTTCCTCTCTTTGTGGAATTCTCCACAGGGCTGCTTGACTGTTCTCATGACAGGGTGGCTGGATTCCCGAGGAGTGAGCAATTCAAGAAATCAAGATGAATGCAACAACGCCTATTATGATCTAGCCTCATAAGTCACACACTATCACCTCTGATTCTTGATTAGCTACACCTACTAGCTCTGATTCAATATGGAAGGCAACTCTACAGGGCATGAACATCAGAAATCAAGGATCACTGGGGAACATCTCGGCAGCTGCCTTCCACACCCTGTTACACTTCAAATATCATTAGCCCCTAAAACAAACTAAACAAAGTTCAAGTAAAGAAGAGACCGTAAATTCAGACTGGTTTAATCAAAACTTCTTTGGGGACTTCTTGATCTTCAAAATTATGTACGATATCTGACCCTCTCCATGTTTCTTCCTCATCTACAAATGGGTCCCAGACTGTCCTTGAAGGAAAGCAGGGCCTAGGCTTGATTTTAAGGGTTCTTTCTGGTTCTCTGATTTCTGATTCTACATTCTAATAAGAAAATAAAGCTTTTAAATTTCTTTTGAGTTGACATTTACACTAAAATGTATAATTCAATAAAAACATTCTAAAGTATGTCATTACAAGAATCATCTCTGTTTTATTTATTCTACAGAGTAATGATTTAAATTGAGCGCATTTGGGCACAGTAAATATTTGACATGAAAAGTAGTTGTACCAGAAGAGGCGTCAGAAAAATAGCAACTTGTCTGACACATAATAACTAGAAAATATTCTTCTGTCTGATCATTTAAGTGTTACAAATCCTGAGAATGTTATACACTGAACAAACTAGGTACTACATATAATTAAATCTTGCTTGCAAATCATCCATTAAAAAAATGCTTCGAGGTACAAATCACCTATGTATTAAACATGAGTCTTTACATTTTACAAAGAATTTAAACAAATATACCAAACAATTAAAGTTAAGTGGCTCTTAAAACAGCAATCAGTCAGGTTCAAGGACACACTGTTCCACGATTTCCCGTAAATTGGGGTTTTCCATTGCAGCTGCCACTCGCTCTTTGTCATTTATCTGCTTGTTGACTGCAAAATACAGACGAAGTTAGCAAAGGAACGGTGTCGATATATAGTAACAAATTTTTTTAGCCTGTTAAAACAGAATTTAACTCGTTGGTAAATTAAAGCTTATTTTGGCTAATGATTCCTAAGTTCTAGAAGGGAGACTTACAGAGAAAATTACACCCTATAATCCTACTACTCTTCCACAACTATTTTCATTTCTTTCTTTCTAGTCTTTTTCCATATACAGATTTCCATACAGAGTAAAGAGTAAAAGAAATTTTAAAATTTTCTATTTTTCCCCCTTTAACCTATTTTTTTTTTTAATTACAGGGTAATTTAACACATCAAAAATTATATGTCTTCTAAATTAATTATAAAGACTACGCTACATTGAGCACCTTTATACATACACCCTTCTTTTTGGAAAGGTTCTTAAAAGTGGCATTGTTAGATCAAGGGATATGAATATTTTCATGGTTTTGATTCTCATCACTGAATTACTTCCCAACATTTTTTAACTAATTATATTGTCAACAACAATACATGAATTATCACTTTGCAAAAAATATGACAGTATAAATAAAAACAAATAAACATACACATAAAAGAGGAAGTGAAAAATGGCTCCATATTTTTGTTGTAATTTATAATCCCTTGATTAATGATGAGTGAGAACATTACCCCATGTTTATCTCTTAGTTCTGTGAATTTTCCTTCATCCACTAGGTCTTTTTTTTAACGAGTCTGCATGGATCTTCATATAATTAAGGTACTGGCCCATATCTGTTGTCTATAATTTGCTAAAAGCACTCTTGATGTAAGAGTTCAAAAGAAATGTCCATATTCTTTTCTGGACCTTCAATTTAAATTTTAAGTACATAGCTCTCTATCCTGATCAAAGAAAAATATCAAGCCCTCCTTAGAGTTTATAAGTCAAGGTCCCTAAAGCTGGATATTCTTCAGAGATGTGCAGCTCCTAGCCTAAACCAGCCAATATCCATAGGTCTTACCTCTAGTTCACCTAGAGTCCTACAGAAAAACTACTTCTTGAAAAGTCTAGGTTCCCCCACCTCAAGGAAGAGCTAACAACTAATTCCGCACTTTTTTGACCCCGTAGATAGTTGGATGGCAGAATAACTTGGTATCCAAGATGAAGTACTATCTAAAGTTGTTTCTTTCTAATAATGAGTCAGGATTGACTTACTGTCTTCCTCCGTTGAGTGGGTTCCTTCTGAAATGTAGATTTCCAACTAGGAAGAAAAAAATATTAAAAGCAAAACATTTAGAGTACTCTATGATAATGAGTGAAGTGCAATGCACAGAGGACTCAAGAGCCTAAGGATGAAAGCCCAGTTCCTTTTTCTAACATCAGTGACAGATCCCTCTAAAACAAGGACTGAAATTAGCAGGATTTTAAATTTTGGTCACCTGTGGGAAGGCTTGCAGGGTTATTCCCATTAATTACTTTTTAAAATGCATACATACAAATAAAAGTTTACACAAATGAGATCTCAAACGTATTTCACTCATGGATCTCTCTACCTCTTCCTCCCAGATTAGTACCTAAAGTATCTAAACTTACTCCCTGCCCCAAGCCCCAAGCAAGCTATACTAATAATCTCGTGTAGTTTCTTCCATATTTTTTCTCCATACCTAATAATGGAATATAGATTTTATACACACACACACACACACACACACACACACACACACACACACACACCAAGGTTGGAAGTTTCTTTTCTTTGCTTATTTTACAAAAATAGGATCACAATATACAGTTGTCAGTATCCTCCTTTTTCTCATACACTGTTATCTTGCTAAATTTCCTCTCAAGTATAATATCAGTTAAGGTATCCCTCCTGGCCTCCTGCACTCCCTCAGATTAGCTAACCTCCAAGAACTGGAGCTTCTAAGATAAACCCACAAAATTACTGCAAATCCCATGGCAAATAAAGCATGCTATATGATAAACTCGTGTCTACTTTCCAGAGAACAGTGGAGTGTATTAACTAATTCTTATAAAGTTATTTTACTACTGAGATAAACGTTTTTCAAGAGTGAAAAAAAAATCATACCTTATTATGGTTAAAAGAGACCCCAGAGATCATCTAGAACAGTCTTTTTTTAAAAACAAAACACCATATAAATTCCCCTAGTGGCATGACACTAACTCTTCTTCCAGACAATAAAGCAACAGGTATAAAATCACCTTATACTCATTTACTTTGGTTTAAATTATGCACGACTTATTACTCTGGAAAATGGTAAATAAAGGGGAAAAGTCAAGCACTTACCCTGTGATTCTTATATGAACTAACAATACCTCTGCGAAACCACACAGTTGGTTTGGTACCGGGTAGGCATAGAAGATTCTGAATTCGAGAGGTTACTTGCGGCCCTTTCTAAGTGGTTCTTACTTGGTTTAAAATTTTTGCACATGAAAATATGCTTAACATTATTAGCCACCAGAGAAATGGAAATCAAAACCATGAGTTATCACTTCCAACCCACCAGGATGGCTATAATGAAAAAGATAGTAATAATACAGATCAAACAGAAGTGTAAGTAAAGATGTGGAGAAATCAGAACCCTCATACTGCTGGTGGGAATGTAAAACGGTGAAGTAGCTCTGGTAAACAGTCTAGCAGTTCCTCAAAAGGTTAAATACAGTTAGCAAAAGATCCAGCAATTCCCCTCCTAGGTAGAGGAAAAATGAAAACATATGCCCAAACAAATTTATAATAGACAAAAAGCGTAAACAACCCAAGTGTCCGTCAACTAATCAAAAGATAAACTACGGCATATTCATACAACGGGAATAGTATAAGGCAATAAAAAGGACTGAAATACTGACACATGCTACAACATGGATGAATTCTGAAAATAATATTTTAAGTGAAAAAAGACGACAAACGTATGATTCCATTTGAATTAAACATCCAGAATAAACAAATATACAGAGACCAAAAGTAGATCAGTGGTTAGCTGGGGATAGGGGAAGGTTTGGGGAAATAGGTGTGGGGTTTCTTACTGAGGTGATAAAAATGTTTTAAAACTGATAGTAGTGATGGTTGCAAAACTCAGTGAATATACTAAAAACAATTAAGTTGTACACTTTCAACAGATGGAACTGTGTGAAAGGTGAATTAAATCTCAATAAAGCAGTTATAAAACAAGAAAATCTTCCTTACCTTATGTTTAAACGGTAAACACCGCTGAAGTTTTACTCTTAAGCACAGCCCTGTAGAGGGGAAAAAAAAAAACCGGCCCCAATTATCTATTCTTTTATTAGTTCTTGAAAAAGCATACAGCTGTGTGTAGATATCTCCATACAGTACAGTAGCTGGAAACAGCTTTGGCTCAACCCAGCGGAGGTTTCCTCTGAGCCATGCACCATGCTAGCAACTTTTATATAGTCTTACATACTCCTCATAACACTCCAGTGAGCCAAATATTACCAAACCCATTCTATAAATTATGAAACCAAGGTCACAATGTAACTTGCCCAACATCACTGAGCTAGTAAAGTGACAGTTGGGACTAAAACCCAAGACCACTGCAAAGCCTAGGTCCTTTCTACTGCATCGATTTGCCTTCAAGCAAAGGTCAATTCACTCATTACACTTTATTGAACACTAACAGACCAGATCACCCAAATATTTAAAACCAAGTAAGAGTCACTTAGGGGAGCCTGGGTGGCTCAGTCGGTTGGGCATCCAACTTTGACTCAGGTCATGATCTTGTGGTTCATGAGTTTCAGCCCCATGTCGGGCTCTGTGCTGACAGCTTGGGTCCTGGAGCCTGCTTCAGATTCTGGGCTTCCGTCTCTCTGCCCCTTTCCCACTCAAGCACTGTGTCTCTCTTTCTCTCTCTCAAATATAAATAATTTAAAAAATTTAAAAATAAGATAAAATAAAACCAAGTAAGAGCCACTTAAAAAGGACCACAAGAAACTTCACAAGTTTGGAATCCTCTATGCCGCAATGTACAAATAGAGCTGTTGCCCTGAAACAAGTTCCTCTGAAGTTCAGTTAGCCACCCCAACGCCAAGTCACAGTTCAATGATTTTTTTTTCCCCTTGTTGAGACTTGTAAGAGAAATTAAAACTGGGCTTGGAACAGACTCTTTTGTGCCCATGCTCTACTTCTTCCCCCACTTCAAAATAAGGAATGAATTTTTAATTAAATCAACATCCCAAGACACAAAAATCGAATTGTTCTTATTATGCACAGAAAGTGTTCCAGAGTGCTTCGAGTCTAGAACACAGGAATTTCATAATACATATTAAAGAACTCTAAACACAATATATCATTTCTTTAAGGGGTTTTCCCTTTAAACCATTTCCTTAAAGCCTATCTGGAGAGTTCTTCTTCTCCCCACGCTGTCTCTTTTATCTGTTACCTGTACACCATCTGAACATTCTCATGTGTTCTACTCACCGTTGGTAGGTGTTTTATCCATAAAGTAAATAATAACTGTTTCACAACTCACAAAGCACTTTCTTGAGCATCAAAATCCTCAAGAGAAGCAGTACAGCATTATTGAGATAGATTCTTTGGGTTCAAGAGTGGCTCCAGAACATACTAGCTACGTGACCCTGGGCAAGCTACTGAATTCTTCTGAACTTCAGTTTGCTTATCCATAAAGTAAGTATTATAACAGTACCACTCTATATAGGGGTGTTATAAGTAATAAATAGTTACACAATGTGCCTAAAATAGTACTTGGTACATAAAAAGTATCCAATAATATTAGCCATTACTATTGTTATCATTTTCATTTTACAGCCAGGAACCAAGATAAGTGATTTGTTTGACATCATATAGTTAACAGGTGGACAGCTGGGAGCTAAATATAGACCTTCTGACTCCAAATCCTATGCCCTTCATATTGGATCACACCTGCCTCCAGCTATTCTTGTCTGGACTAAGTCTACACAAATAGTTAACAACTGGTTTCTCTGCCTTACCCGTTCACCCCCTTTGAGTTTCCTTTGTCTCTGCAATTATCTACCAGGATAATTCTGAGTAGGTGACAACATCAGCAATCCCAGGGGAATGCACCCAGGTACCTTTCCCTGTTTAGTACTATCTGCTCACAGGAAATGCCTCCCAAATGTCAGAAAGAGAGCTCTTTTTATTGTTTTCCGATCACATCGATTGAACATGGTTACTACACTACTCTACTAACCTCTAAAAAGGCAAGGGTCCTAACTGAAACTCATATTGAAAGAGTCAAAAAAAAAAAAACCCGACAAAACTTTGCTCAAGAAGTGTACAGATCTGAGGGTGCCTAGGTGGCTCAGCCAGTTAAGCATCTGACTTCAGCTCAGGTCTTAATCTCATGGTTCGTGAGCTCGAGCCCTGCTTCAGATGAGTCCCGTTTCTTTCTCTCTCTCTCTCCCTCCCTCCTCTCTTTCTCTGCCCCACGCTCACTTGCACCCTCCCTCTCTCTCTCTCTCAAAAACACAAAAACAAAAAACAACACCTGAAGTGTATAGATCTGAAATATCTACCATAATCAGATCTTGGTGTCTTTACATTTACTTTTATTTCATGGACTTTCATAAACACAGTTTTTTCAATAATTACAATCATTATGCAAATTCAACTTAGCATTTAAGTTTTTTCATACATTGCTCAGATACTTTGATTCCTTGATTATATTTATCATTTTCAATAGCAATAAGAAATCCCATTATATTGGATGCCATTTCCTTAATAGATACTATAATTTCTTCCAGATTTCTTTATTATAAGTTTATGATAAATGTTTTGTACATGCTACTGTTTTCTTCTATGGAATTATTCCCTTAATTCCTCAAAGAGTAGAAACTTTTTAAGAAGGATTTCCTAATATGTACCCAGAAGCTTGAAAATACTTATACCACATGACCCAATAATTCCAATTAAAGGAATTTATCCTGAGGCAATAACTAGAGACATATAAAAATATTTACATATAAAGTTGTTCATCATAGTATAATTTATAATTGTGAAAGCCTAGAAGTGGTCTAAATGGTATAAAACATAATACATTGTGCTAGTAACACAGACCTACATGACTATATAATTAAAAACTAATATTTAATGATGAATAAAAAATTGCCTATGCTCATCTATTTCAAGCTTTCTATTATCTAACCCTTGTAATGCCGTTGCTATTCTTACTATCTCTACTTTACAGATTAGGAAACTGAGGCCCAGAAAGGTTAAGTAACTTGCCTAAGACCACAAAATGGCAGACCTGATGGAGCTAGAGTTTTAAACCCAAACACACATTCTTTTATGACAGCTGGTTTTTATTTTGTTCTTTATGCTTTTGTGGGGTTTCCAAATTATTGCCAAGATATTACTTTTGCAATTTAAAAAACACAAAATAAACATTACTTTTTGAAAAATCAATTTGCTGAAGACTCTTGGAGTAATAGACCCTCTGTTTAAGAACCCTTATATACCAAAATATTTTAAGACAACCCCTTCACATCAAAAGAGCAGCAGCACTTCTGGAATCTGGCGATTCAGAAACTGTCCAATGACAAAAAAGATAAGTATGCATTCAAAAACACTTTTTCCGGGGTGCCTGGCCAGATCAGTCAGCAGAGCATGCGACTCTTGATCTCGAGGTTGTGAGCTCCAGCCCCACATTAGGTACAGAGGTAACTTAAAAATAAAATCTTCACAAACAGACAAACACCCCAAAACGCTTTTTCTAGTATGGAATATTAATAACTACAATATTACCTATGGATTCACAAACCCTCTAGTCCCTCAAGATGTGGCCCGTATACTAGAAACCACTAATAGGGATCCCAGATCAATAAGCGAGAAAAGACAGAAATCACAAGCATGGAAGCAATAATAAAATGCTTACCTTTTCGATCCTTTTTATAAACATCTATTTTTAAATAGATAATATAGTCCCATAGCTCACAAACTTAAAAATATGAAAAAGTACATAGTAAAGTCTCCCTCCCATCCTGCCTCCAACCTGCCCCGTTCCTACCACCACTACTACCCACCCCCATCACAGCTATTCATTTCTTATGTATTCTTCATGCATAGGCCATCAAATACAAATGTCTACTTTTGCCTTTTTTTACACAACCGTAGCAATATTACACTTGCTTTTATTTCTTAACACTATGTAATAAAGATCTTTCCATATCAGCACATGGACAGTTTCTTCATTCTCTTTAAGAGCTACATAGTATTCCATTGTTAATACATACCAGCACTGATTATTTAAACCATCCCCTACCGATGAGCATTTTGGTTTGAAATAAATGTCCTTTCTCTTCTTTATAACAAAGTATGTATTCAAAGACACCTCTTATGTATCTTACTGCTAACTATTCCAAAATACTGGGAATGCAGCCTCTCAAATAGAAAACAGCCTTCAAAATAAACCCCCAAAGAAAAAAACAAAAACAAACAAAAAACAAAAAACAAAAACAACACCTCTCCCACTAGGACTTCTGCCTATACTTCACTGAAGCCAACAGAGCAGCTAGAGAAGAAGGTGATGGTAGCAGTGCCAGTCTGAGAGCACCCACTCCAATCTCCAGAACTGAGGGGAGGACTGGCTCACACCCACTCTCCAGCCGTTGTAGGTGTGTATACCAAAGAGAAGCAGCATGGTGTAACTAAAGGAGGTATCATGTTTGGAGTCAGGAGACCTGGGTTTGAGCTTCAGCTTCGTTGTTTCCTAGCTATGTGATTCTGAGCAAGTCACTTAGACTCTCGGAGACTTAGGTTCCTCATCTGAAAAGTCTCTCATAGCCTGTGAGGACTACAGAAGATACACATCTGAAAATACTGTGCGAACTGTAAAGTGTGATACATGATGCTAATTGTTATTCGGGGTCACTATCAGTAAAATAACTTAGGATTAAAAATATATTTACATATAAAACCTTACCAATAAGGGTTGCCAAAGAGCAGTGAGGTACTGTTGGCGTGAACCTGATTATAACCAAATAGTCTTCTTCGTTTACCTCCTGAACCTCCACACTACTTTCGGTTACCACTTCCAGTTCTTCTAAGGTATTGGGCTTCTCTGGGTCCCGGATGGTTCGAATCAAATCTATAGAATCATCAGAGACAAGGTATTATGTTAAAACATGAATATTCTAGGGGCACCTGGGTGGCTCAGTCAGTTGAGTGTCTGACTTCGGCTCAGGTCATGATCTCACAGTTCCTGAGTTGGAGCCCCACATCAGTCTCTTGCTGCCAGTGCAGAGCCTGCTTTGGATCCTGTGTCTCCCTCTCTCTCTCAAAAATAAATGAACATTAAAAAAAAAACACATGGGGCGCCTGGGTGGCTCATTCAGGTTAACATCGACTTCAGCTCAGGTCACAATCTCACAGTCCGTGAGTTGGTGCTGATGAGCTCTGGGCTGATAGCTCAGAGCCTGGAGCCTGCTTCCAATTCTGTGTCTCCTTCTCTCTCTGTCCCTCCCCTATTCATGCCCTGTCTCTCTCTGTCTCAAAAATAAATAAAAACGTTAAAAAAATTTTTTTTTAAATAAAAAAAAAAACAAAAACAGAAACACCCATGAATATTCTAAATAAGGATGACTTTGCCAGCTCTAATCCAAACACTGATTTTTTTAAAACCAAATATCACAGTAACTCCCCAGATTTCTGACGGAAAATTTCACTACCAGTTTCCTTTTGAGAAGACAGTTTTCTTGGATTACTATTAGATCACACCCATTTCTTGGATCCAACATTGCAGAGAGAATATAAGAATGAGAAAAGTGTTGGAAAGAAATGTGGAGAAAGAAGTGTCGGAGAATGTGGTATCAGGATTTATGAAAGCAGAATCTGAATCAAGCCTTTAAATATGGGTGACATTTCTTTTTTTTTTTAATTTTTTTTTTCAACGTTTATTTTTTTTTTTGGGACAGAGAGAGACAGACATGAGCGGGGGAGGGCAGAGAGGGAAGCCTGAATGGGAAACAGGCTCCAGGCTCTGAGCCATCATTGAGAGCCTGACAGACTCGAACTCACGGACCGCGAGATCGTGACCTGGCTGAAGTCGGACGCTTAACCGACTGCGCCACCCAGGCGCCCCTAAATATGGGTGACATTTCAATATCTGACATTTAAGGTTGAAGGAAACTAAAGGACCAGAAATTGAGGGGTGCCTGGTTGGCTCAGTTGCTAATGCATGAGACTCTTGATCTTGGGGTTGTGAGTTTGATCCCCATGTTGGGTGTAGGAGATTACTTAAATTTTTTTTTAATTAAAAAAAAGTTTAGTCTGCCTAGAACTCAGCATAAGTGAGGATATAAGAGATTCATCCAGACCATCAAGGATTGTTTTTACAGCCAGCCACAGGTAATAAGGAATCAAGAGGTTCCGAACAAGGGAGTAAACGTGGACAGCACTATACTGTCAGCTGGTAACTCATCCACCAGCTGGTAGACTCAGAACTAAGAGTAGAGCCCAGGGATACCAGCTGAAAATGCTGGGCCCAAAACAGGCACATGACAATAGTAATGGAGAGGAGGTGAGAGATGGAGAAGTCATTTCAGAAGCAGAATCAATAGAATTTGACAAGCGTTTGGATGTAGAAGACAAGGAAAGGGAAAATGGAAGCTGACTCAGGTTTTAAGTCTGTCTGGGAGAACACTGATAGAATGAAGAAAAAAAAAGCTGGAGAACACAGGAAGAAAGTTGGGTGGGGCTGGGGCAACTGGGTTCAATTTTATACATAATGATTTTGAAGTGCTTAAGGGACAACCCAAAGGAACATTCCAGCAAACACTGAACGGTACATAAGGCTTAAGAGACCACCAAAGCTAAAGAGACACATAAAAAAAGCTCAGGGTGCTGTGTGGCTCAGTCGGTTAAGCAACCGACTCTTGGCTTTGGTTCAAGTCATGATCTCACAGTTCGTGGGTTTGAGCCCCAAGTCAAGCTCCATGCTGATAGTGCAGAGCCTGCTTGGGATACTTTCTCTCTCTCTCTGCCTCTGCCCCTGCCCACTCCCCTCTCCAAATAAATAAACTTTACAAAAATGCTCAACAACACTCATCATCAGGGAAATGCAAATCAAAACTACAATGAGATACCACCTCACACCTGTCAGAATGGCTAAAATCAACAACACAAGAAATGAGCAATGGCAAGGATGTGGAGAAAAAAGGAACCCTTGGGCACTCTTGGTGGGAATGCAAAGTGGTGTAGCCACTCTGGAAAACAGGATGGAGGTTCTTCAAAAGATTAAAAATAGAACTACCCTACAATCCAGTAATCATACTACTGAGTATTTACCCCCAAAATACAAAAACACTAATTCAAAGGGATACATGCACCCTGATGTTTATTGCAGCATTATTTATAAAAGCCAAACTATGGAAGCAGCCCAAGTGCATCCACTGATAGATGATTAAAGAAGATGTGAGACAGACAGAATGATATTGCATTGTATATGTAATGGAATATTATTCATCCATTAAAAAAATGAAATACTGACATTTGCAAGGACATGGATGGAGGTAGAGAGTATATAATGCTAAGTGAAATAAGTCAGAGAAAGACAAATATTGTATGATTTCACTTTTATGCAGAATTTAAGAAACAAAACAACCAAACAAAGGGGAAAAAAAGACAGACAAACCAAGGAACAGACTTTTAACTACGGAGAACTGACAGTTACCAGAGCCGGTTGAGGGATGGGTGAAACAGGTGAAGGGAATTAAGAGTACATTTATGAGGAGCACTGAGTAATGTATAGAACTGTTGAGTCATTATATTGTTCACCTGAAACTAACATAACACTAAGTTAACTATACTGGAATTAAAATTAAAAACTTAATTAAAAAAGGGGAGAGAGAGAACACCAAAGCTACAGTGGTTGTTGAACCCACAGATTCACGAAGAATGAGTTTAACAGTAATTTTCAAGCTTGGCTGAACAATGGAATTATCAGACCTGCTTTAAAAACAAAACAAAACAAAAACTGATGTTAAAGCCCTACCCCTAAAGATCCTGATTTAACTGATGGGTAGCATGGGTTGGGCATTGTGACTTCTAAAAAATTCCTCAGGTTCCTCTCAGTACAATTTGAGAACCACTAATGTGAAGGGAGAGACCCAAGAATAGATCTGTGCGAAGTACCTAATTCAGGGATCAGAAGGAGAAATAAAAGCAAGAAGCAGAGATGGAAAGGGGGGTGGTTAACAATATTAAACGCTGCAGAAAAATTCAGGTGGACGAGAGCTGAAACAGGTCTTTGGATCTATCACTCAGGAGATCACCTGTAAAAAAGCAGTTTCAGTAGAGGGATGAAGGTAGAAGCCAGCTTGCAAAAGGGGAACTGAGTGGCAACTAAAAATGTAGTCCTAGGGCTTCAGCAGGGAAGGGGAAGGGAAAAGAAAAGAATTGTGGGTTTGGACAAAGCTAGAACAATCACAAGGGTAAGACAAACTTGAGTGTTTTATATATAGCCCAAGGGGAAGAACCAAATAGAAGAGAGACTGAAAATATGGGGGGGCGGGGCACGACTGGCAAAATAAACAGAAGGGAATGAGACCAAGGATGTGGGAGCCTGGGTTGGCCTTGGAGAGGACAAGATTTCCTTCCTACTCTGAGGTTGTAGAAAAAGATGGAAAAGGAGAATGAGACAAAAATGGTGAGGCAGAAAGGAGAGTAGAGGGAGTTCACGTAGGATGGGACAACGTTCTCAGGCCTGAGGTTTTGTTGTATTATTTATAGCACCCTTATAATCAGAAATGCTACTGGGAAAACTAAACCAATCAAATTGCAACTTCTCCCCAGCAACTCCTGGGCTTATCACTTGATCAGCCACAGAATTTCAAAATGGAGGCAGGAAAAATAAAGACAAAAGCTTCTTCTTCACAAGGCTCTATCATCGTGGGACTCAGGGAAACACTGCTTTTTAAAAAGAAATTTGCTTCCCCTCATCCTAGGCATGTTCCCTGTAAGGCTCATTTATACAGGCCACATTATATTCTTTATATGTTACTTAAGCCTGATATTAAATTTCATCCTGCATTAAACTTCTCTGGTTTTCTACTGATTTGAGAGCTCTGGATTTATTTCTTTAGAAAGAAATGTTGCTCTTCTCACATTACTCCCCTGATAAAAATTCTTCTATGGCTCTGCACAGATATTTTTTATTTACATTTAAACCTTCAGTATCCAATTCCAACCTGGTATATAAAACAATTTTTTAAATGTTTATTGATTTATTTTGACACAAAGAGAAAAAGAGAGATGGCACAAGCAGGGGAAGGGGTAGTGAGAGAGAGAGAGAGAGAGAGAGAGAGAGAGAGAGAGAGAGAGAGAGAATCTCAAGCAGGCTCCAAGCCATCAACCCCATACAGGACTCCATCCCACAAACTATGAGATCATGACCTGAGATGAAATCAAGAGGCAAACACTTAACCGACTGAGCCACCCAGGTGCCCCTAAACACTTTTTGACAGCACTTTCACCTTTAAACCACAAACCCTAACCTGTAGACCCACCTATCTGCCATTCCCTAACATATTATTTTCTCACCTCCATTCTTTTGATCCTTTTTCTGTTTAGTATGCCTTCTACCCACCATATATCCAGAACCTACTTCTACTTCAATGCCTAACTCAAGTAGTCCTCCTTAAACTCTTTCCAGATTCCCCAATCAGAGATTAGAATCTCTCCTTCCTCCTATTGTATCTCTTATTCAAGTCTATTGGTTGGTACTGCATATAATGAAAAAGTCTGTTTTTGCGTACATAGGTCTCCCTCAATATAAACTTGAGGACAAGAATCATCTCTCTTCCAAGGTTGTATCCCCAAGTGCCCGTCCGTCCTGAGATGCTGTAGACATAAGTCTGATAGGACAGGAATGTGTCCGTGTTGTGGGGATCATTCCACTCACAATAATCATATAGCTAGGGTTGATTAAGTCCTGCCTCTAGTAAGAGAGGGGTAAATTAGATTGGCTCCAACGGTCCCTTCCAACTGTGACCTCCTTCTACTGGCCCATAATCCTTGCCCACATTTTATTTGTATTCTTAGGGTTAAATCTTTCTCCCTCAGTCAGCAGGAATCTCTGAACATTAGTTAGTCCCAGTCTTTTTAGTTTTCAAAAACAATACTACCTAAGTCCAAAAACAGCCGTAAGACAATTGTGAAATGGTGTAAAGTGCACGAAGTTTGAAATCAGAAGATCCGGGGTTTGGTTTTTGCGGTTGGTTTAGTGGCAGCGTCACCTCTGGGTAGTTAACCATTCTAAACCTTTGTTTTCTCATGGTCCCAAGGGATTAAAAACAAAACAAACACATGTGACTATATGTGTGTTTCTGTGTATTCGTTTTTTGCACTCCAGGCTTGGCTGTGATAAGAAACTCTAATTTCGAGGCCCAGGTACAGGGAACCAGTATTGTCCTCCTCTTCTCTGGGGGGGAATCTCTGCATTTTCTTTTGCACATGAGAGCGGCTGTAACCTTGGGCCAGTCCCCAACTCGTTAGTCACCCAGCAGTGCTCTCGGTGGTGGCAGGAGAAGGAATGTGTATCCAGGGGTTAGGGAACGCAAGGAAGGAGACCAGTAGTGCAATCACGCCAGCGTTCCTTCCTAACCAAGCACCCTAGACGCCTGCTCTGCCCAGAAGTCTTGAGAAGGGCACTAGGGCATGAGAGGGAAATGAGGTGTTTAAGACCTCCAGGCTCGGCTTAGCCCCAAGTTTGGGAAGAGCCCGAGTCCTAGAAAGACCCACATTTCCCCACTCCGGAGAAAAGGCTTCCCAAGCTTTCCGCCGAGACCCAGAAAAAACCGGAGTTTCCACCCCCAGCCCTCAGGTGAAGCCCCTATTACCCCCGTCTCCACATACAAAGCCACACGCTGCCCTGGGTAAAATTAATTACCATAAACCTCTAGCGCTTTCTCTTCCATGATCCGGGGCTGCCGGGCAGCTCCCCGCTCAAAGAGGCCGGAGAGCCACAGGACTCTGCTCCGCGTCCAGGAAAGCAGCCCGGACACCCGCTCCATCCTTACGCTCCGCCATCCCTGGCGATTGTCCCACCCGAGCCACCGTCTCTCAGCAGCGGGCCTCGCAATTTATCAACTTCCTGGTCTTCAAATGGGCCAAGACGAGCCTAAAGCTCCAGGGGAGCAGAAAATAGGCGGGACCCGACGGAGTAGCGCGGAGGACCTAGGGAAGGGCCCCGCAAAGACTACAAGCCCCAGCATGCTTTCCTCGGTTTCGGCGGGACAGGGGGGAAAAAAAAAAATTCCTCCCAGCACGTGAGGCGCATTGCGTGCTGGGACGTATGGGGCGTTTGCTTCGGAAGACAGAGAGCTGTATTGTGGGATTTGTAGTCTCTGTCGGGGAAGGGGGTTAGGTACCGGTCTGTTACTTTACACTGTTTGCCTCACTCAGCGCCTTCAATAAGCTAAAGATGAATCCTGAAGAGGTAGGGGGAAAGGAGATCTTGATTTCTAGCGCTGGAGGAGCGTGTGCAAGGAGACTTTACTGTTATTTTTCTGAGGGAGCTGCTTCCAGCCAGTTTTCTTACTTCCTAGTCACGCCGGAAGTGAGTTTCCGTTGGGGTGAAACGGAACACCTTGGGAGCCCAGTGAGGTTCGTTAGATGTCGCAGAGGCGGAGAGGGCTTTTTGATTTTCTCGTCTCAGAGGGACTCGGCCGGCACAACTCCCCACTGCGAGCTATTTCTGTTAGTTGCCTTCAAAGACAACTTAGAACGACAGCGCTTGCGCTGTGCCCAGGGCATCCAGTAGTGACACATTGGAGATCGTTATCCTAAAAAGAATGGTTTAAGTCCTCTGGTGTTCGTGGCTGTGATGAATGCCAGTATCAAGGTTGATGATGTTATTTTTATCCATCCATCTCTCCAGTCAAGTTTCAAACATTTGTTGGGCACTTACTTTACCAAACTTGGTCTACAGACGCTGAGAATACCAAGATTAGGAGGCGGCCCCTGCATTCAAACAGTTCATACATAGACCTGGGAAGGAGCCAATCCCTGATGTTGAGGAATTTGCAATTAGAAACAAATCTTTTGTCACATTTGATGGCAAATTTCATCTCTATTGAGAAGAAAGGATTAGTTTGCACAATTATCCTATGCTAACATATCCCATTTATCTTCAAACTTTTGTTTAAAGTATTGTCTGACTGATTTAGACTTTAGTCTCACCAGACAATAAGTGAATAGCTTAGGCCCCAGGAAAATTCTGTTCAGAATTTAAGAATTTCTTTGCCATCTGTTCCACTTCACTCCACAGCAATTAAGAGGATAATCCTCACTTCCTTGTAACCAAATTTAGGGCACTGAGGTCTCACCTTCTGTAGGGCCTCCCAGCGTCTCCAAGCATGACTGATACTCATTCACACGGCTCCCAGAGCACACTGTAGCACTGAACACGTTGAATTGTTCATTTGCATGCCTGTCTCTCAAGTGCCTGTTGAGTCCGTTTATTTCTGTATCTCCAACGCATAGTAGGATGCCAGGCATACAGTAGATGTTCAATATGTATTTCTTGAATGAATTAACTAAATGAACAAAGAATAAATGGCGAAACTTTACTGCAGCCTGTTGAGAGCCCTCAGTCAAAAATATTTATTGAATCTCAGTGACAGCACTGTGCTTGGCATAGGTACGTGGCATGTAGAAGAGTTTTCAAGCTCCTTTATTCGAACGACATCTTAAGAAGCCTGTTAGATAAGGCTATCCAGGACACAAAGAACCCTAGGAATGTGAGCAGCCCATACCTAGCTCCTCCTTTTCTGGCCCATTCGCCCCCCTGGTTAAGATCTCAGCGTGGCGATGCAGGGCTCGGATTTGTTGGGCACCAGTGGTGAACAGGCCTGCCCTGCCCCGAGCGGCTAGGCTCCGCCCCTGAGCCCCCGCCCTGTGAGTCCCACGGGGTTGATCACGACGATCCCACTCCTCGTTCCTCTGGAACGTTTTGCTCGCGGCGCTCTCTATAAAGTTGTTGTTGCGGCTTCCGCCGCGGGTGGAGGAAGATGGCGTCGGGTGGTGGTGGCTGTAGCGCTTCGGAGAGATTCCCTCCACCTTTTCCTGGCTTGGAGCCGGAGTCCGAGGGGGCAGCCGGGGGGTCAGAACCCGAGGCTGGGGACAGCGACACCGAGGGGGAGGATATTTTCACCGGCGCTGCTGCGGTCGTGAGTTCGCACCCTTCGGGGCAACCGGCGGGCGGACGGGCGGGCGGGCGCCCCAAAAGGGAAGAGAGGCTAAGCGAGGGTCGAGGAGGCTGGGCAGAGTGGGCCCGGCGAGACCTTGCGTTGGTGACGATGGTCGTGGTTTGGGGGCCATTAATGAGTGCCAAGATGTAGGGGCCTGACTTCCAGGCCCCTGGGGCGGACGGTGAGAGGGGTGTGGTGGCTTCGCCGAGGTCCCTGACAGCTAAGAGCTGCCCAGGCCGGCATTTAGCCCTGCCGTGTGGTGACCCCAAAGACCCACGGCGCTGTTTTGTGGTGGTTTCCTGTGGCTTGATTTAATAGGTCAGCATAAGGGGATGGAGTGCAGACTTTGCTCTCCCTAACCTTACTGCTCCTAGGATGAATAGTGTTATCTGGAGTGGTTCAGGATGGCGACCCGCCCACAAATCCTTTCATTAGTTCAGAGCAAACCGATAATTACCAAAGGCCCGTTCTGAGTCTAGTTTATAAGAGTTAATTTGACTCCTGATCTCTAAGGAAAATCCTACCAGAACTACATAGACCGCAAGCTTTGTCTCTTTTAAAGGGATGTATTATTAAAGTGCCTAAGTACCTTTGTGGGATCAGATTTGTAAATGTGAGGAGGAAATGGTATCTCCCTTCGTAATACCCAGGTTTCTCGTAAGAGGTGTTGGGAAAAACTAATCTTTGTATGTGGAATGTGGAAATCAGTAATCTGTTCTGGAACCATTGGAGATGTTTGGGGCTGTTTTATAAGAATACTGACTCATACCACTTGGTACAGTTCGTTCTAGTTGAAAATTTCGGTACTAGGTTTGTGAATTTATGTATTATTCTATCTTGGATAATACTTCTCTTCATAGTAGCTGTTCAGTATATGAGTGACTAAATAAAACAGTGTTAAGTTCTTTATGCAGCACGTGTCTGAAAAAGTTTGAAGTTTGTTTCATTTATGTCAGAAAGGTTATGTTTCTAGGAAATATCTTTGGTGACATCTTTAGAATTTACCCTTTATATTCAGGAAATAAATTCATAGTCCCAGCTCAAAAAGTACTTGTTGATGCTAATATAACCACTTAAACTATCTAATGAAGTCTTTGTTATTCTAAGAGATAACGCTTTCTACTATTTTAGTCTTTCTGTATCTCATTTAAAATAAATTTTTGGTCTTTTCCTTTAGTAATTCTCCCATAAGGTATCGAGAACAGCTCCTGTTAATAACTGCTGGGATGCTAGACAATCCAACCGAATATCTGAAAATAGAAACTCTGATATTGAAAGTGACTGGTCACATAGGCAAATGATGATTTATTTTGCAAAAAGTACCCTGGAAGGGTGATAGTTATTTTCTAAAATGTTGAAGAGGTTAGGACGTAATTGATACCAGATTACTTTACAGAGGCATAAATACTTCTCTCTTGTAAGACTGTTAAAGTACTTTGCCTAATTTCCAACCAAAGAGAGGAGGAGGGAGTCAGAATGAATTTGTTCTACCACAGAGAGCATAATTATTTTTAGTTAGATTTTGATCCAGGAAAACTGAGTTGCTGAGGAAACTAAAATGCTACTTGTAAGCCATTTCTTGAGCTGCCTGTTCTGATGTTAATCTTCAGAAAGCCAAGACTCCCAAGATTCCTCACTGTTTAAACTGTGACTTTTTTGTTAAATAGTCATTAAATACAAATTATATTCCAGTAAATGTTTTAGTTGTGAGCCAGTGTGAGAAGATAGGGGAAGAATAAAATAAGAACAAGGGCTTTGAAGGCTGATTAAAATCCATCCATGGGATACCTGGGTGGCTCAATCGGTTAAGTGTCCAACTTCAGCTCAGGTGATGATCTCACAGTTAGGGAGTTTGAGCCCTGCATGGGGCTTTCTGCTGTCAGTGTAGAACCTGCCTAGGATTCTCTGTCTCCCTCTCTCTCTGCCCCTCCCGTGCTCAAGTTCTCTCCCTCTGTCTCTCTCTCAAAAATAAACATTAAAAAAAATCCATCTAGATTATTACTTGGGCAGAGTACTTAATTACTTTGTATGGTTTCCTAACCTGTAAAATGTGAGTAATAGTAGTATTTATGTCCACCATTGTGAGGATTAAATTAGAATACCTGTGAAATAACTCATGAAACGGTTGAACATTGGAAACGGTAATTACTCTAAGAATCAAAAAACCAACAGAATCTAATAATGTATTAGAAAAGTTACATATATAATTTATCAAAATCAAACCAGTAATAAGATTGATTTGATTAGCTAAAAGTCATCAAAGAAGGCACTTAATGACATCAGTAGCATCTTATTAAATTTACCTTCGTGGTGTGTTTTGTTGTGTATTGGAGGCAAAGGAGGAGTATTAAAAAATTGGGAAGGTGAGGCATATAAAATTTAAAATAATTTATGGTAGGCATGTAATATCCTGGACAGTGATGTAACAGCTGCTGTTGTTAATCATCCCATCTGTTCCTTTTTAGAGCCCAAGAGGTTTTGTTAATACAGTAATAAACGTATGATTTACGATCAAAAGAGTAGCCCATGATATGCATTTCAGAATCTGCAAACCAGTTACTAATGGGATAGACTGGAGTAAAAAGGATTATTAACACAAATCTGAAATCATTGTCTTAAGACTGAAAACCAGCTGGGAAATATCTTAAAATGGTTCTTAAGAATACCTAAGACCTGAGGCGCCTGGTTGGTTCAGTCAGTTAAGTGTCCAACTCCTGGCTTCAGCTCGGGTCGTCCTCTTAGAGTTCGTGAGTTCGAGCCCCATGTTGGGCTCTGTACTGACAGCTGGTTGGGATTCTCCCTCTCCCTCTCTCTCTGCCCCTCCCCCCCCAAAAATAAATAAAAAGTTTTTTAAAAATTTTTAATAAAATAAATTGAAAAAGAATACCTAAGATCTTATCTTCCTTCTTTCTGCTCCTTACATTGCGGGCCTATACTAAAATTCTAAATATATTATCTGAATGTTTGATCGGACCTGAATCTAAATATGTATCTTTTTAGTTAAAACTTTCTTAGCTCTGGGATAAGATTAATTTTTCCTCTTACTAAAAGGAGACAGCAATTTTTGGCCCTCCTAAATCTTAATACTATGTTAAAAAAGACTAAATGGCATACATATTGTTATGCCTCATTTAACCTCATTGGTCTTACTTCTATACTTCTAAAACTGAAGGATAGAATTGAAGCAAGTTTTTTATTTACCTTCCCAGGAGTTCTTATATGCCCATCTCTTTTTAGCAGTATGCCGGGGCCACAATTAGATCTGCCTTGTAAATGAAGAGAACTGTGGAGGTTTTTCTCATGTTAAGAGGAAGAAGGAAAACATAGATAAAAACTTCATTTCACATTGTGGCCAAATCTGGTAACTACTTCTTACAGTGATCCATCAGACCAATTAGAATTTTTTCCCAATACTCATATTCTTGCATTGAAACCCTAGTAATTACAGAAATGGCTAGGAAGAATAAAACAGAATGAAGGAATAGCAGGAGGCTTGAAAAGTCATTTATTGAAGAACTAGTCTTTGATTAATCAAGACTTACTTACATATTCTCTCTGGTATTTAAGACTAAAGAACATTATAACTCTTATTGGTATTCAAAAGTCATGGATAGCAAGTGGTTTCTGATTGACCATGTTTCATAGACTGTAGTGAATTACAGAACTGTAAGTTGTGTATTAACATTTAGACAGGAAAGGACATGTTATTTTTAGAATCCAGCCCTACATCTGTGATCAATATGTATCCTGAGGGAGAATAAATCAGGGTTTTTTTTTTTACTGTATGTAAAACATACACAAAATTTACCATCATAACCTTTTTAATTATACTATTCAATAGTATTAACTATACTCACATTTTTATGGAACAGATCTCTAGACCTTTTTCATCTTGCAGTTCTGAAACTCACTACCCATTAAATAAAAACCCCCCTTTTTCCCCTCCCCCAAACCCCAGGAAACCACCATTCTATTTTCTGTTTCTATTAATTTGACTACTTTGAATAATCTCATATAAGTGGAGTCATGCAGTATTTGTCCTTTTGTATCTGGCTTATTTCACTTAGCGTAATGTCCTCAAGGTTCATCCATGTTCTAACATTCATCAGAATTTCCTTTTTAAGGCTGAATAATATTCTATCATATGTATGTATATACCACATTTTGTTTATCCATTCATTCCTCAGTGGACATTTG